TTTGGCACGCTTTCCTTTGTCTCCTTTGCAATCGCTTGCCACAGTATGCAGATTCGAAGACCGATTCCCCATGTGCGCTGCGAGAAAAGGAAAGAGAGCCATGTGCGCGACTGTGATGTGCCAGTTGAATGTGTCATGTTGTAACATGTGAACGTTTTTCACGAAACTACTTAAACCCTTGTTCCTTTGCTGTGCCCTTTTGTCAGGTGCAGGAAGAACTTTTACTGACGAAAAGCCATGCCCCAAGCCAAACATGTACGTCCACCGTGCACAATAATACCTTGACGTAATATGTTCTTGGTCGGGCTAAGGCCTTTTTAGGGGGTAGATAGCAGGTTTTTTCATTCCTCAGGATTTGTTGAATGATGTCTTCCCAACATCTTCCCTAAATTGATGGAGATGATTTAGACTCTAGACTAAAGACTTTGTATGTTTTTCATAGGAAGAACTTTTATTGACGAAAGGCCATGCCCCAAACTAAAAGCGTGATTGAGGGCAAGTCCACCGTGCAAGATAGAACACTGTGTTGTTTTGTTCTTGGTAGAGTTCAGAACTTTTAGGGAGAAGATAGCAGGGTTGCTCATTCCTCAGGATTTGTTGAAAGATATCTTCCCAACATCTTCCTCAAGTTGATAGAGAGGGTTTAGACAAGACTTTGTATGTTTTCTGCTATGCCCTTGTTCCTTTGCTGTGTCCTTTTGCCAGGTGTAGGAAGAACTTTTATTGACGAAAAACCACGAAAAGTCCCACCTCAACATCAAAGACGTTAAACCTTGCAAATCTGTTGAAGAAGCAACCTTGTTTTTACATCCCTATGGTTGTTTTGTTTCTTCCTCTGCAAAGTTCCTGTGCTAAAGCCGGTGTTGATTGGTCGTGTGAATAAAAGTAGGGTTGTTCTCCCACTCAAGCATCAAAGGCTTGTAATTTGCAAAAGTCAATGCAGCAGTTTATGCCTTTGTTCCTTTTCAAGCCTTTGACTAGTGGTAGGTTAAGAACAGAAGTGGTTTGTTCAGCTGAAACTTCATGAAGAAATTTCCCTCAGGCATTTTCACATCCCAAGGTCAAAATTCTTGCGTAATGCATTGCATTCCTCAGTCGAACATGATCGCAGTCGAAGTCCCCCCCCCTCATCTCAGTTGTTTCTTTTTGCCAATTTTTGCACAGTTTCGGGTTGCGCAATGTTTGAAGTTAAAAAGGTTGATTGTGTGTCAGTCGTGTTCAAAGCCGTCTTCGTGGTAAAGTTGTTCAGGACTTTTGGGGGTAGATTGCAGGGTTGCCCATTCCTGAGGATTTGTTGAGCGATATTTACAATAATGTTATTTCATTCATGGAGAAGTTTTAGACGAAAGACTTTATATGTTTTCTGCCATGCCCTTTTTCCTTTGCTGTGCCCTTTTGTCAGGTGTAGGAAGAACTTTTATTGACATTGGTTGAAAGGGTGGCGCTGGAATCAAGATATCTTTCAAACGCTTTCCTCAATTTGATAGAGAGGATTTAGGCTAAAGACTTTGTATGATTTTCTGCCATGCCCCTGTTCCTTTGCTGTGCCCTTTGGTACGTAAATGCGAGTAGCACACGGTTGGAAAGGGTTGAGTTTGAATGTCTTGGCTGTTGACCTTGCAGGACGACAATGGCGGCTTCAAGTTCGTCAGCAATGCTTTCCAGATTGACCCTGCTCCTTCAAACATTGTGCACTTGACATGTTTTCATCCCAGCCATATCATTGCCATTCCGCTTTTGCTTTTGTTTTTTCTGGCATTTTCGTTTGCAAACCCTCCGTTGACAGGATTATTTGAAGAAGGTGCAGACCTCAAATGGAATTTCTTTCATTTTGTTTTGGAACAGCTTTGAGATGGGCAATGACGAAGATTAAGCACAGCGACCATCTTTGCAACACGTGCTGTGAGTTCATCGTTTGCGTTCATGTCCAACAGTGCCTTAGTTGATGTTGAGTAGAAGACAAAGCAGACAGTGAAAAAATGCCAGAACATGTTGTCTTGAAAGCAAAAGTGTATGGGTGGTATTGTCGTTCAGCTCTCAGGCGATCAAGACCGAAAATGCAGCCACAGTCCAATGCGACGCCTTCCAAATCGAAATATTTAGCCAACAGGAGGAGCCGTGGTGCCAACAGGAGGAGCCGTGGTGCCAGCAACTCGTTTTGCTAGTTGCAGTAGCTTCAATGACCTACCAGTTCGTGTTTAGTCAGCTCTTTTTTAGTTTGAATGCCTTCTCCGCAGGGTGGCGACTGGAGCAAAGAAGACGAAGAAGCTTCAATTAAACGCGGTGTCTCCAAGTCCTCCCCTCAGTAAATACATGTTAATACTCTGAATATACTTGTTACAAACGCCTTGTTGAAGTGCGTGGTCAACCAATCATTCCAGGTTGGACTGCTATGGTTACCTCATTCCATAGAGGCTGGCTTGTTTGTGATCAACGTGTACGCAGTGTGGCGCAGCTTTTCTTTCTTAATGCTGCTTCTTGAAACGGTTTTGCTTTGTGAGGCTCTTTCTGACCCGACTGTGAGCATTGGACGGTTTCATTCTATGTATCAAATTGCGACTTTCTTTTGCTCCGTGCATGTGCGTCTTCT